GTCTGTTTTTTTTTTTTTTACGTGTGTTTGGGGAGCACGTGAGTGGAGGTCAAAGGGTAACTCCCTGGAGTTGTTTCTCTCCTCCCGTGATGTGAGTCCCAAGGATCAAACTCAGTACATCAAGCTTAGCAGGAAGTCTCTCTCTCTCTCTCTCTCTCTCTCTCTCTCTCTCTCTCTCTCTCTCTCTCTCTCTCTCTTTCTCTCTCTCACGCACACACACACTCCCTGTATCTGTGAGTCAGGAAAGAGAAGGGAAACATAGGGGCCGTGTCTCTCAAACCCACAACTGGGGTGACCTGGCTCCACAGGGTCACCTCAAGTCAACCACAGACCAAATGACTGGGGTTTTCTGTCAGATTCAAGAGGGTGAGCCCATGTGATGAGCCCCTGGCTCCAGCCAGCATGGCAGGCATAAGCAGGACATACTGGAGTGTGGGTTAGTCTCCACCATGAGATGCACCCCCATGGGAGCAGACCTGGGGGTCCCTACTGGGCATACTGCATTGACAATCTTCCCCAGCTCCGAAGGCCAAGCCAGGGCAGCTGCAGCACCAACACAGGACACAGGGGTCACAGAGAGCGCACGAACTCAAACCTGAAAACTGAAGTTTCTGGAAAGGAAAAGGCCGTTCTAAGTACTGAGGTCAGGAGGCCCCCAGAAGTTGTGTCCATGTCCTGATTTCAAGCTGTTGGTGTGAGCTCGTTAGGAAAAAGGTCTTCTCATGAGTCAGCGAGTGAAAACACGAGATGAGGCCACTGTGGTTCTGTGTTGTAGTAGGTTTTCTCCTGGGTCAACAAATTCTCGCATCTGGACTTATTACTCATGAATGCTCAGCCTTAGCATTTCTTGCTAGCTCTTGTGACTTAGCTTGTTTCTCTTCATCTACATTTTATCTCAGGGCTTTTTAACCTTTTTTCTATCTATCTATCTATCTATCATCTATCATCTATCATCTATCTATCTGTCTATCTATCTATCGTCTATCTATCATCTATCTATCTATCATCTATCTATCATCTATCTATCATCTATCTATCATCTATCTATCTATCATCTATCTATCTATCTATCATCTATCTATCATCTATCTATCTATCAATCATCTATCTATCTATCATCTATCTATCTATCTATCATCTATCTATCTATATTTTCCTGCTGTCTGCATGGCTGGCTGTTGGCTGCCTGACTTTCGGTTTCTCTCTCTCTCTCCTCTTTGTGCTCTCTCCGCAGCCTAGATTTCTCCTCCTACTTACTCTCTCTGCCCACCAGCCCCACCCATCCCTCTTCTGCCTCCCTATTGTTCACTCAACTCTTTGTTAGACCAATCGGGTGCCTTAAGCAGGCAAGGTGAAACAAAGGCAACACAGACAAGGGTAACCCATCTTTACCTCATCAACAAAGGCCACGAAAACAAATTTAACACACCTTCGTGTAGTTAAAGCAATTTATTCTGCAGTGTAAACAAATGTAACACACCTTCGTGTAGTTAAAGTAATTTATTCTGCAGTGTAAACAAATGTAACACACCTTCACATAATTAAAATAATACTTTATGACACCAAGTTCCCTGACCCTGCTCGTGGCTGTCCTCACAAGCACTTAGGACAGCTGCAGAAACTGGACATGGTGGCACATACCTGTCATCTCAGCACTCAGAAGGTAGAGGCAGGAAGGCCAAATGCTCAGTGCCAGCCTCAGCTGCAGTAGGTTCAAGGCCACTGTCAGTTACGTGAGATGCCGTCTCAGAAAAGCACAGTGGAAGATGGAGGCAGAGAAGATGGTGACCCAGCACAAGTCCTAGGGTCCTAACAGTGAGTAATAAGGACAGAAGTGGGCATACTCCCCATGCCTCAGGGTCAGGCTCCAAGTCCTGGCCCTGAAGAAGCCTGATCCTGCAGTCAGAGTCCAACCTGACCCTCCCACACACACACACACATCCCCCCACACACACCCATCCCCCCCACACCCATCCCTCCCACATGCCCCCATCCCTCCTCCACACACCCCGTCCCTCCCACACACCCATCCCTCCCACACCCCCGTCCCTCCCACACCCCCATCCCTCCCACACCCGTCCCTCACACACACACATCCCTCCCACACCCCTGTCCCTCCCACACACCCCATCCCTCCCACACCCCCTGTCCCTCC